AACGCAATGAATAACCTGCCTGTTTTGGCAACACAATAACGACATGTGCCACAAGCTCCCGACGGCCTTGTTCACAATTTTCATACATAACACATTTTTCGGCACAGCTTGCCCCAAGGTGTCACTCAGCTCTTGACAAGACCAGGCAGGCTGGCATTGGCCGCCCAAGATTGATGTTTTCACTTACCCACATAATTTCCGTCTGGAATTTATTGCTGGCCCCCCACGAAGGACTGATTAAACGCTCAGGCTAATGCGTGTGCTGCTGCTGCTGCGACGTAGGCCTAATTAGTCCGGCTTTTGAATTATGTGATTACTTTAATTTGTGGCATCCTTGATAATTTATATTTAAATATCTTTGTGCTTCGTTTACGCCTGGTCTCAAATGCTGAAAGCTGTTTATAGTTTATGTTTGTCATCAAGCCACAGATATTATTGCTGCTGACAGTCCATTAAAAGTCAGTAAATAGCCAAACTAGCCGGAATTTCGGTTTATTATTAATGTAGTTATATGGAATAAAATATTTATCAGCAACTTTGTTTGCCCACACGCAGAGCAGCTATTTTAAGCAAAATACATATTTGTTTAGTTCAATTTTCTTAACTTGTCAACTTCTTTGCAAGCAACATTTGCCATTTGCTTTAATAATTCCATTATTCTTTTGCGCAAAGAGCCTTTTGTATATGAGGCTTGTTTTTCCTGAAAAACATGCAATAAATATTCATAAATTGCTGACAATTTCAACAAACACTTAGGAAAATGAACATTAACAAATAAGCTTAAAGCGTGGACTGCTCAACTGGAAAATATTTTGCACCCAGCTTGGGTATCGTTTGGTTTTATTAAGGTCTCAACAGGATGCTGAACCGCACTGGAATTCCAATTATTATTTTTTACTCTGGCCAGATTGTAGCCTCAATCAAACCAATTTTTATTATAATAGAAAAACTATTGAGTGGAACCCAGCCATGGCATTTAACCAACCATTTTTGGTAAATGCCAATGGAGAGAGATTCAATTTAGTCTGCTACTTGCATAAGAAAATATACAAAGCTAGTCATATTTTCAGTTCAACTGGCAGTTGCAAATTAGAAATTGAATTGTTTAGATGAAATGAGAAAATATTTGCTGGAACAAGTATTGAACGGGTTCAAAGATGTGGCAGAAATATACATTTATGCCGAATATAAATTCGTAAATATTTAAAAAGTTCATTTTGTTGTTCCTACTTTGGCCATACTCTTCAGAGGAGTTAAGCTAAACCTTGACTAGATTGCATTTAGGTTTTCTCTGACACATATCTTCCTTGACTATATTCGTTGTAGCTTTTAGGTTTTCACTGACACACATCTTCTATGGCATAATCTCACTCTACTTAAGGCCCACCTTGACTAGATTCGTTCTAGCTCTTGAGTTTGCTCTGACACATATAAATATAGTTTATTGATTCGCAGCTGCCTGGCTCTTAGTTGCCTTCAAGCAGTTTTCCGTCTTAGTCATGCTGACTATACGCTCACATTCATAATTCATATTCGCATTGAGTGCAGTTCACAGTCACTCGAGATCCATTTGAAAGCCCGATTCATTCGCTTGATGTGCTAATCTGTCTCGTTTTATATGCTAATTTTCCTATTGAGTGCCTCGCATCATATTTATATGTGTGTGTTTATATAGACATGGCCCAATATACAAGCTCGTAAATCTGTAAGCTCGTAAATGTCCAAGTGCTGTAAACTCGTACTCGATTTTCTGGGCGCACGCCGCTTGCCGCACGCTGCGTATACGCAATAAGGCAAGTGACAAGCAGCCTTTGGTGAGGCGTTGCTTGCCTCTTGGCCATGGCTTAAAATATATAACTTTGTTCGCTTGTCATATACAATAAATCAAGCAGCGGACAACGGCCCGCAGCTTGTGTGCCTTAAATTTGTCAACATTTTGATGTGTGGGCGCATTTAAGGCGGCTTTTAACAAAATTTGATGAAGCCTTATGCCAAGGATTTTTCCACACAAAATGCGTAGCCAAGTTTAATCAACTTATGTAAGTTCCTGTGCTGCTTTATTATTTATGGCACGAGCAACTATTTCTGAAATACAAAATTGTTTGGGGCCAAATATTCTGTACTATGTGATATGTGCACAATGTGTGTGCCACAAGTGGCAAGACGAGCATTGTTCTTGCCGCTGTCAGTATGATGGCAAGTTTCTGCAAAAACTTTGCAAAATGTGATGGCCACGCTTACACGCCAGATACTTTATTTTAAGTTTAACGGTAATTGAATTTTCACTTAAGTAGTGACCAATATAATGACTTGGTAAGCTAGCAAATATTGTCATTACCGATCGCACTTAAGCCCTAATGGAAGGCTCATAACAGCGCAGCAGCAATTAGACGCTGCCACGTCTGCCACAGACATATATAAATGCGTTGGTGTTGTGCTGGAGTGTTGCCACAACATGCGGCAACTATAAGTGTCCTTAATGCCAATTACTGCTGCTGGCGTGTGGCGAGCGTAAGGCAAACTGTAAGCGCCTTGTGGCATGCCACGCACAACTTTGATATGGAAATGCGGCCCCGTTTGGCAACACGATTGACAATGGCAATATGAATGTGAATGTGAATGCGGATGTGTATGTGGATGTGAATGTGAATGGAATGGGAAATCTCTGTTGATAGAGTCGAAAGTCATGCATATTATTTCATGTTTGCAGTTGCTAGTTTTCAGTTCACATTCCGTTGCGCGTCTGAAATTTTTATGCAAATTTATGGCACGCGTCAACAAATTCGTTGAACAGCAATGCATAAATATTAGCCCGTTGTAAGCCCCTCTGCACGCATATAAAGTTAAAATTTATAATTGGAAAAACCAGAAAAAAAACTGCCCTGCAAAGCTTTGCTATACATGCAAGGGATATAGTCTCTAGTCTTAGAAATTTGAGATTAATTTGAAATGTGTTTTTAATATAAAACTAGGAATTTTTAGGAGATATGCTTCGCATTTTTCGCAAGATAGCTTAATTCCACTGTCAACATTTTATACATTATTTTTGCGAATGTCACATTTTTTTTTCTAATGTTCAAGATGTGGCCTGTACGTTTTTCCATGACACATTTTGCACAAACCTTTTTTTAAATAATTAATTACACTTCTTTCACCTATTATTAATTGTTGAATGAACAATATATCTCAATTCCATACACATATGTGAAATCACATTTGAAATGTTGGTCGTAAAATAGGACTCAGAAAGCATGTAATGTTCTTACTATGCTTGAAAAATGTGGTTTTATTCCAAATCCGCGCAAAGCCGGATAATACACACTAGTGTAACAACAACTCATACATATACATGTATGTGAGTCCATTAATTGGATTGCATATTTTCGTGTGTGTGTTGGAACATCAAAGGGTATTTCTTCTATACATTTCTATAAATTGCTTGTCGTGTCAAATACAAACGACAAAAATGAGAATCAATAAATGTTATTTTTATATAAATTGCAAATAGTTCCAATTGAGTTTGCAAACACACAAATGGTCTATTTGTACAGGATTGCGAACACGTTTCAAAGGTCCACTTAGGAAGCCATTAAGTCGAATTCTGATGGACGTTAGCGTCTTTTCATTTAGATTACGCTGACAGCTGTGTTGATATTTGGCCACAAATTTCAACTTTTCAGCAGCTAATAACAGTGTGTGCTAAGTGGTGCAATGGGACTCTGGTTTTTGCTGTCTGGCTCTGTAATTCCGAGTGGTTGAGTGGTTCCCCTTTTGATGCTTTGTTTGCAGCTTGGCAAACAAGCTCTTTGGTCCTTATCCCTGTGCGCACAGCTGTGGCAACTGTTGCAGCACTGATAAGTACACACACACACACACAGGCACATACATGCCACACACAGTGTGTGTGTGTGTGTGTGTCCGCTTTTCCTGCCGTCACATTCACAGTTTTGTGGTATTGCAGGTAAATTGCACTACAGTTGCAATGAACAGCGCCAATCTAAAAGAGTGATTAAGTGGCATTTAATGACTCTAGTTTGCGACTGAAAAAGCAAGTGTTTGTGCTTCAGGCTGGCAAGCAGCAACTTTTTGTTGTACTCCACTTAATTGCAACCTCTGCTGTAATTTGTCAGGCTTCCATTTACTTTTTCGGATTAAAGAAGGGCATGCTGACTGGCTAAGGGCTTCAAATAACTACTCTTAGCTGTTTCAATTTAATTAGTGAGTGTGTAGTCCAGTCCAGGTAAGTTAATTAAGTTTCAAAAGTCCGCTCTCTGCACTGGTCTTTGTTAGCCAAGTATCTTTAACCAGTGGGAAATTCATACGTAATGCAAATTATGGTCTTACATTTGGTTATTTAACAACATTTACACTTCAAACTGCGCCAAAGCTAAGCATTTATCTCTATTACTCAATATAAGTTGTTTAAATTAATATATATTAATACGATTTGAATTCTATCATGTATACCTTAATTAGACTATGCAATCAATCGCAAGGCTATCTAAGAGTTTCACAAAACGATTTTCTACAACTGTAAGTGAAATCTTACAAACCCTTTTTCCGTTGTTCACTTTAATCACAGGGCAAACACTTTTGCATACATATTTATCACATAAAACACACATACCTAAAAAAAATGGGAATTGTGGGCGAGTTGGTTGCATTGTTTAATTGAAAAAAAAAAAATAACCCAAGTTACATGATATTTGATATTTATTTTACTTGCTGTACAAACCTGTTGTGGCTGGTTGATTGAACTCGGCATTGTTTGAGGTTCATTTGAAAATAGAAACTCGATTGAAATACCAAAATGTATTAAATGAAATTCTCGTGCCATGTAACTCTTTGTCAATCGCAATTCGTTGCCTCTTCTGATGGATGCTTCATGAGGCAACAACAAGTTGGCCTTCAGCTCTGTTCGGTCTGCTGGACACAAGAGGCAGAAGGAGGTAGACAGATGGCTCAGTCGTGTGGTGCGAAGGAAATAAGAAAACTGGATGCTCGATAGAATTTTGGGAATTTTACTATATCTTGCATGTAAAAATATGTCAAATGTATCCATTTCGTTGTTAGCCATGAATGACAATACAAGAAACAACTGCATCATTGCAGCGAGTTCGGATCTAATGTTATAATTGGTATATTGGCATTCAAAGGGTCCGTCGCATCGCTGGGCAGTTCCGGAATGTGTCCGCTGTCGCTTGTGCCATTGCCAGCTGGAACGAGCAGAGCTTAGTTTGTGTCCTGAGGTGCCTCTTTTGACTCTGTATTACCTGCGGAAGCTGCTGCTTTGCTTTGCTGCTCCTCCTCCTCGGTGATGGTGGAGAAGTTGGTCGGCCGCTGTGATGTGATCAATGGACTGGCCGCCAGCAGGCGATGCGAGTGCCTTTTGCTTTTGCCCGCGTTGGCAGCTGTAAGGGACTGTCGCTTCGATTTGGTAAGCGTCTCGGGCGCCGTAAATACCACCGTGGGCTGCAGTTCGATTTGGATGGCAGGAGTAAGTAGTATAAGCTTGGAAACACACATATGAACTCACCGATTGAGCAGGATGCTGCTGCTGTTCGGCACGTTGCATTCGATAAGCCTGATACTGTGATATGACACAGAGCAAACAGTAGAGCTTGAAATGGAATCAAATTGAAATTGTTTAGGAAACGGAAATTGCCAAACAGGTCCGTTCACTCACATTCAGGCAGAGTATGAAGAAATCTATGGTGAATATGAAACCAACGATGGGATCAAAAATCACACGACGCGACAGCGTCAGGTGTACAAGATGGGCGACTTCGATAAGCAAATCGCAGAGCATTAAACCTATCCAGGGCAACAGCAATTGACGTTTGTTCTGCAAAAGGTGTAAATTGGTTGCGAAATGTGTCAAAGGTCAACTCGGGTGGCCACACTCACATTCCGCAGTCCCACAATCAGCAGCAGCGAGGCCACAACCATCAGCATCGAGCAAAACAAAAACAATACGTTGAATATCACAGTTACTGCAATCACAAATCACGTCAATCAATTGCGTTGGATAACATTTTGCTATATGGCTTCCTGCCCTGACGCCTCCCTCTCTCTCTCTCTCTCTCTCTCTTACCTACAGTTACATCACCCTTCTCCAGGATACTTTCGCCCAGCGGTTGCTTTCTCTGGCCAAGCAGAAACGCTTGCTCCTCCTTTAGATAGAACGTAAACATAAACGTGGACAGGCCAAAGTAGAGCTGCAATATTAAAAGTAAATCTAATCAAGATTAAGAGCTTCTAGTTTTAGAACATATTTCTATTATGCGATTTTCTTCTCAATTTTTCGCTTTATTTTCACAATCCTTTTCGACTCACAATCTATTGAGCTAAGCGTTTGATTGGAAATTCTGTGGCTTATTTTCAAATGCGATTTACGGCAAGAGGATTTATAATTGGTTTGTCGATTGAACTAAGCTATTTTCTGCTCTCGTTGTATTCTACTTTCTTCCATTCATATTTTGCATTTTGTCTGCCGCGATTGGAACTTGAGTCCTTTACGAATTAATCTTTAGCGCATGACGAATTACAACAACAATAAGGGAAGGAACTTGCTTTTGTCATAACTTTTCGCTTAATTGTCGCTCTACGTTGTGCTTCGCGATAAGCTTCTCGCTTGGTTGGTCTTTTTGTCATCCATTCATTCGATTGGCTTGTCGTTTGGTCTTACTCAATTTCGCTTCTTGCTTTGTAACTTGTCTAGCTTCTCGCTTGATTTATAATCGTCTCAATTCTTGCTCCACTTCTCGCGCTTTTCTCAAAATGTTACACCTTTCCGTTTTTTTTACTTACTTAGCTTCTCGCTTGATTTATAATTGATTTAATTCTCGCTTCACTTCACGCGCTCTCCTTCAAAATATTTCTCTTCTCTGTCACAGTGTTCCTCACTTCTCGTTTTGCTTCTTAGTTTGCTTCTCGCTTTGTTAAGTTTTCAAAATATCACTTTTCGCGCTTTAGCTGGCGATTTGCTTTGCTACACTTACTCCCATTTTGCTTCTCACTTTGCTTCTCGCTTTTCAGCACCATCTTTTACCACTAGCTTAAGTATATGCAGGAAGATAAGCTAAATTTTTGTTTATCTTGGCTAACTTTGTATTTTCTTTTAACAAATCAAATCTCTTGTAATTGATTACCCACCAGAGTGTAAACGGCGCAGGCAAAGCTGCCTTTACGCACGCTTCTCCAAAAGCAGCAGGACTCGAGTATGGCCATTTTGTGGGCTGTCTTATTCCACCAAACTTATATACATTGGGATATCGTAAGTGAAAGTCTTTTGTATAACGGCAGCCGCCACTTTCACTTTACTTTTTGACACTTGCTCGGGGCACTAGGCAGACGGCAGTTTGTCTTAGGATGCCGCCAGCTTTTTTATTGGCCTCTTTTTGTTTTCTTAGCGTTTCTAGGATACTTTGTGGCCTGTCATTGGCCTGCTTATCTATAAACACTGACACTTAATTTCATATACAACGCACGCAGATTTATGACACTGATTTATGTGCCGTATACCAGGCTATATATTTATATATGGCCGGCAACTGCATTTGCCGATTGAACCGTTCGCTTTGAAAGACGCGCCAGAACTAATTCGAATTGTGTTTTTCTGTGAAGTCGGAACATGACCAACAATTCGAACATCGGACCGCATTTTATGAATGAAACTTCGAAAGGGCGTAAATCGCTGTTGGGCCTCAGGGACGTCGGCGGGGAGTCAACGCATGCGCCAGCCCGTGCTCTGGGCCAAAAAGCAACAGGCGGCTTTGGCATTGAGAGTGGCCGATTTGCATGTGACGCGAAATGAAGCGAAATCTATGCAAAACTCAAGCAACGGGTGGTCGCTCGCCACGCGGCGTATACGCAATGTCTACAGTTCGCACGAAAATAGCCAACTGTGCGCGCATTTAATTTATTTATAAGCCGCAAATGTGCAGAGTTAGCTCTGGAGCTGCCGCATGCATTCATTTTCATTAAAGCAGTCCACGATAGATGTGCAGGATGCGGATTCCAACCCAAGCAAGTGTGAATAGATTTTATTCAGTTGTATTCAAAAACAGCTATATCGTTTACTCATCAAATTGTTAATTGTCACTTTGATTATTGCCAGGATTTGGCATTAAACGCAGCCACTTAGTTGGAGCAGCTGACTCGATGATTCCCTGCGTCGAGCATGACTAATGGTCATCGATGGCGTCGATAAGCCGCAGCCTCTGGCCATGAGCGTCGACGGTTTGGGCGCCAGGAAGCGTAAGCAGTCAGCTGGAAAACTGATGAATCACATAAATTGAAATGAAGGACACAGAATTCGTATCGGAGCAGGCGTTGCAGCGACTTTTCGACTGTTATTGCCTTGTCAAAACCGACTGCTCCTGGCTATGGATGGAAATGATAATGGACGTAGGGCGCCAAGTAAAACATCCAGTATTACGTGAGTATTGATATATACAAGTATGTTCATGTACTGAAATTGTATTTACCGCAATGGCGGATAGTTCAAAAAACAAGGATGTCAAAAAGACGGTGGATAGGGGTCAACAGACAAGCAACTATAAACCGAATATCAGAGATTTTCGTATGCACTATGAGGGCAGTATCAGCTCCAACTCTGTTGAGGATGTAAAATCCAAGGTAGTACGTTCCACAATCGAAATGGAACATTATATTGACTTTGATGATCTCTTGCCGGAAGTTGGCGAGTTCGGATGCTTTCAGAAAGTTTTGTTCGCCTTAATGATACCCTTTTGCTACATATCGGCCTTTGTGTATCTAAGCCAGATCTTCATGACGCTGCCGCCGGATAAATATTACTGCTTTGTCAACGAGCTGTCGCTTATAGCCAGCGAGGAGGAGCGCAAAGAGCTTTCTATACCCAAGGAAGTCGATGGCAGCTACAGTCGCTGCCAGATGTATGATGTCAATTATACGGCCGTGTTTAAGTCCAAGAATCGCAGCGAGCTAATCAATAGCTCGCTGCCGCTAATACCCTGCCGGGAAGGTTATGTCTTTGACCAGAACGAACCTTTTCGTACGGCAACCATGGAGTTCGGCTGGGTCTGCGCCAATGATCGCTATGCCACATACGCCCAAGTGGTCTTCTTTCTGGGGTCCGTTGCAGGTTGCCTGGCCTATGGACACTTTGCGGATCATTGCGGTCGCGTGGCAGCTTTGGTTAGCAGCTGCTCCTTGGCATTCTTCGGCAGTATTTTTACATCGATGGCCACTAACTTTGTTAGCTTTGTCATTATTCGCCTGATTGTCGGCGCCTCCTTTGACACTTGCTTCACCATGATCTATATACTGGGTACGCAACAATTGACCTATAAATGACCTTTTACCCGAACTCAGGCCGAAAGAAGCATCTAAATCTAGCCAAGCCCGTCCGTTTGTCCGTTCGAATTCGGAGACTATAAAAGCTAGATACTTGGATATTTCAAATAAATATTCTTCCATACGCACAGCGAGCTTGTCATTTTACTCAGATATCTCTTCTCATTTCCAAAATATCGATAAATATCGGTTTTGAGATTTGCTTGCTAGGGCATATCTCGAGGATTGTAGTAGCTATAGCTTACAAACTTGGTGTGAAGGTTTTTGTATAGTATATACAGATTAGGAATGTTTCACTTTTTGAATAAGAGCCTTGCTTGTGTTCTGTTAAGGGTGTGCTAGTCGGGCACTTCCGACTCTATTTGCTTTGATGTAGACTTCCAATGCCTATATTCCTATCTGTAGTACTCGAGTATGTTGGACCCACGTATCGCACCTTCGTGGGCAACATGTCACTGGCCATGTTCTACTCGCCGTTCACCATGCTGATACCCTGGATGGCCCTATTGCTGCGCACCTGGGGAAACTTTGCTCTGGTCGGCTCGATACCCATTGCTTTTGCTCTGTGTGCATATTGTTATTTGCCCGAATCGGCGCGCTGGCTGGTCTCTGTGGGCAAGATCGACGACGCAATTGTCATACTAAAGAATGTGGCAGCTAGAAATAAGCGAACCGTTTCGAAGAGTTACTGGAAGAAATTCCGCGAAAGTTGCGAACAGTTCTACAAAGAGGAATTTGAGGGTCGCAGCTTTACAGTACTTTCGATTTTTAGACGTCGTCGCCTGGCTCGCTATATGGTGCTCATGATATTCATCTGGATGACCATGTCACTGATCTATGATGGCCATGTACGCGCCGCGTCTGTCCTGGACAAGGAGAACGTGGTTGTTGTCTTTACCATAGCCTGCGCCACGGAGCTGCCGGGCGATCTTCTCGTTATCGTGACCCTCGATCGCTTTGGACGTCGCTGGTGCGCCTTTACATTTACCACGCTGAGCGGAGTTTTCAGTCTGTTGGCGGCTAACTTAAAGAATCCCACCCACACATTGGTGACCGCCTTGGCAGGACGCTTCTTTGCCAATGTTTGCTACAACATTGGACTGCAGTGGGCGGCCGAAGTGCTGCCGACGGTGGTGCGTGCCCAGGGCGTGGCCTTCATACATACCATGGGCTTTGTGGCCATGTTACTCTCCCCGCCGGTCATCTACCTGTCTAATGTATCTCTAGCGCTGATGCTCAACACTTTGGGTCTGCTGGGTATTTTGGGTGGCATTCTATCTTTGTTCCTGCCGGAGACCTTGCACCAGGATCTACCGCAAACGCTCAGCGATGGCGACGACTTTGGCAAAGATCAACGCATGTGGCATCAACCTTGTTGCGGACCGGGAACTAGGCGCACGCAACGATTCAAGCGGAACTGGCACGAGGGCTCCAGCCTGCGCACCCTATCACGGGATGAGTTCCGATCCAGAAAAATGCATCGCGTCGCAGTAGTTAGACCACATGCAAGCAGCTTTATCAGTCGCATGCCTTCATTAGTCAGTCATGATACAGAGGTTTTGGAAAGGATAGAAAAGTATACAGCACACGATGGATTAAAGCGAAACAGGAAATAATTATAAGTCTAGATTGTCCAGTACACCTGTCGAAAGCTACAGTTCAGAACCAAATTGTTAAGTCCGACGAAGCGGCTGTTTAGCCAATTTACCAGCAGCTTGTAGAAATTTTTGTATTCCAGTCTATTTTGTGGTTGTACCTTGTTTTTAAATTTACAATATAAAATAACCAAAATTTCTGGTTCCAAACATGTCTTATATTTCACTCTCATGTAGCTGTGTTTCTCAACCGAATTTCACGAAATTTTCAGCATTAAATCATATTGTGTATCCATTTTAAAGATTGCTTGGAAACGGGACAGCTGTCGATCATCGAGCTATCGATTATTATTAATAAAATTTGGGCTGGGTTTGGGTATCAACAGACAGACATAGACATACGGACAGACAAAGGGAGAGACCTAGATCGACTCTGATCTCGATTATTATTGGGAATATATATGCCTTACGGGTTCGGAGCTGGCTGTTACATACGTTTGGACGAAACCAATATAACCTTGTTACTAATTTTTATTGGGTTCCGAGTAAGAAAATCAAATTAAATTCAAGCATATTAATTGTCGTATCGAACGCTTTCGTTCCAGCCATTTGCTGAGAGAAATTTCCAACCAAACATGAGGCAAAGTTTTAGTATAGAATCAAATACAACACGTATAACACCATTCAATGATGCGAATAACTCGAACTGTATCGGGTGTGAAACTCCAGGCAGTGTTACGAGTAGCTCGATTCGTATCGGGACTGAGCATTGTCCTTTTGCTCATCAACTATGTGCTGCTCATTCGAATTTGGCGCGAACCGCTAACATTTATCAGCGATGAGAAGTATTTCAATAAGACGCTTGCGAAAATCTTAAGACCACGCTGGTCAGGGAGTTCGGGTCATTCGCAGGTGGGCGATTTTCTTATCGAGGAGCTACAGGACTTGGGTTTTATTGCGTTACGCGATGAATTATTTGACGAAAAGATTTTCACCAATTTTTTGGGCATTATGAATACGGATGCATCAAGTTTTTTATTGCTCAGCTGTCATTATGACTCGAAGTTCTTGAAGAATGCCGCAAACTACGTGGGAGCCACAGACGGAGCCGTTTCCTGTGCCATTCTGCTCAATATGGCCAGGACGCTGGCTCCCTATTTACGCGGAGAGTTCTCCAAGCGCGATGACATTGGCTTGCTGGTGAGCCCTGGCCTCTATTCATTGAAAGGTTACAAAAAAAAATCGTATTTATATTTTCAGTTGGTTTTCTTCGATGGACACGAGTCCCTGAACGAGGTGGAAGAAGATTTTAATTCGCTAAATGGATCGCGACGCTTTGCCGAGGTGGAAACCATACCATTGAAAAATATTGTATGTTTCCATAGCTAAGTCAAATTTAAATTAAATTTAAGCCAAAATATTGTGTCTTAGGAGTTGGTTGTCACACTTAACCTAATTGGCGCACCCAACCATATCTACATGAGCCACTACGAGGACACATTTCTATGGCACAATCGTCTGGCCAATATTGAAGGGGATCTCCAAAAGGCAGGCAAGCTGACCAAGTGCCATAAGCTGTTCCACAGCCTAAAAGATCACGAGAGCGATATTGAAGACGATCATTATCCGTTTCTTGAGGAGGGTTCGTATTGATATTGATCGATATGTTGTCCATTTTTTTGACTATTTTTTTGTAGGCGTGCCAGTTCTGCACATAGTGCCGCATACCTTTCCAGATGCATGGCATACTGAGGGTGATAATTTTAAGAGCCTGCACTGGCCGACAATACGTAATATGAACGCAATCATTCCACGATTCGTTTATGAGTTTTTAAAAACTAACCGAGAAACCGGATAAAAGAATTGAATTAATATTTAAATTAATTCATTAATTTTTGCCATTTTTTTTTATATTGAGAAGTTAAATATTTGTGTTCTATAGGTTCAAATCAGGTCAATTTTCAAACGAGCGGTTTCTGAATAAATACTTATAAAAGTAAAATTTTCAATTTTATCTAGGACACAAACCACAAGAGTTGAATCGCACTTGGGTGCCGAACAAGTCGCAATTGATTTGAGTTATATGTATGTGCATATATTCGAAATCAAAGCGCAATCGAGACAGTTATTTGAGCTTTGAAGCTTACGTATAATGGCTGAAATCTCTTTAAGCGTGCGAGCTTATGGCATAAGCCGTTGCGCTCTTTGCACGCACTTCAAAGCTTTTCTCAAACTGTTTGCGGAGGTGGAAAGCTTTTGCTTTATGTACACAAAGCGCACACACACACGCATTTAGGTACTGTGCTTGCATGTGTGAGTGTTTAGTTTGCGCGCCATAAGCGAACGCAAAGCAGCTGCCCAGATCGTTAACAACAACAACAACAACAACTACTACAACGGCCATGGTAATTAGTTTTAACATACCAGTCGAAGAGAGATCTGTTCCAGTGCTCCGTAACACTTCAACCGTTGCGGGACGTAGCTTGTAAATATGTCGCATTCGTGGTATTTCATTTTCGTTTCGATTTGGCTGCTGGCAGCTGATAACGTAGTCGCACAACAGTCCAACGTAAGTTGGGATGAATCCCCCCGTGCGCTGACTCACAAGGCGAGTAAATAATAAAAACTGATCTGTTTTAAGCAGCGGCAGTCCGCGAACTGGGCTGACGATGAGGCACATTTCAACAGCAGCCTGGCATTAATATTGGTGCCACGCGTTGTTGGCAGCCGTGGCCATACGCAGGTGCGCAACTACCTGGTGAATTCGTTAAATGGGCTTGGCTTTCAAACGGAAGTGGACGAGTTTAAGCAACGTGTGCCAATTTTTGGTGAGCTAACGTTTGCGAATGTCATTGGCTACATCAATCCGCAGGCGCAAAACTTCATGGCACTTGCCTGCCACTACGACAGCAAGTATTTTCCAAATGATCCCGGTTTCTTGGGTGCCACGGACTCGGCTGTGCCCTGCGCCATACTCTTGAATACGGCCAAAACGCTGAACAGCTATTTGCTGCAACAGTTTCGCAATCGCAATGATCTCGGCTTGATGGTGCGTCTGAATGTGCTCAATATTGCCCTCAATTACAATAATCGCATTATTTTTCTAGCTGATCTTCTTTGACGGCGAGGAAGCCTTCAGGGAGTGGACCAACAGTGACTCGGTTTATGGCTCGCGTCATTTGGCCAACAAGTTTGCGCGCACGCGCAGCCCGACATCCACGTCAGATCAAGCCAATCTGGGTCCACGTCACATTGATCGCATTGTAAGTTGTTGACTTAGCGGTTAGCCAGGCTCTTCTAATAGTTTAACTTGTATCCTGCTTAGGAGGTGCTCGTGCTGCTGGATTTGATCGGTGCTCGCAATCCGAAATTTTCTAGTTTCTATGAGAATACGCACGGTTTGCATTCTAGTCTGGTGGAGATTGAGCAAACATTGCGTACTGCTGGCCGGCTGGAGGGCAATAACAAAATGTTTCTGAATCGACCCGCTGGTGGATTGGTAGACGACGATCATCGTCCGTTCCTGGAGGAGAATGTCCCCATATTACATTTGATAGCGACACCTTTTCCGGATAGTTGGCACACGCCAAGAGACAATGCTGCCAATCTGCATTGGCCATCAATACGTAACTTCAATCGCGTCTTCCGTAACTTTGTCTATGAATATTTGAAACGACACACGGCACCCGTAGATTTGCGTTTCCATCGCAAGTAGAGTTGTATAGGTTTGATGTGGCTTAAATATTATCATTGTATTTATCGTGTAAATTGTGTTTTTGTTAATAAAAAAGTCCTAGTTAATGCAGCCGTTTTTGTTTCGGTTTAGCGACGCTTGCGGCCGGTCTGACCCTTTTTGCCCGGTGCCCGCTGACCTTGATGACCCTTAGGCTTCTTGCCCACTGCCTTGCGACTGCCTTTGCCCTTCTTGCCACCCTTTTTCGCAGGTCTGTTGGCGCCTTCAGCCTCACGCCTAATAAAATATAAGAATTAATCAATATGCTATTTTGTGTTGTGCTAGCAGCATGTGTCTTACTCTATCCGCTCGTCTTGCTTTTGCAGCGATATCGCCTTATCCACATCTATTTTGGGCTTTTTACTAAGAACACTCTTGATGAGATCCAAATTGGCCTCTCTCTCAGGCTGTGCTGTGATATGCGATGCTTTGCGTTTGCCGCCTGGTATCAATTCCTTAACACCAAGACCACGTGCCTCCTTCTCTTTAGGCAATTTGCTTTGGAATTTGCCCACCGATGCAGTTGAAGATTTGGCTACCGTCACGGCAGTAAGCAGCTGGTTGGAAGATGCGGCCTCTGGGCCCAGATAGCCGCTGCGTGGCATGTCAATCTTTTTGGCCCGCACAATGTTCCGCATACGCTGAATTTCGTTCTTGGCAACCTTCTCGTTGCGCAAGTCCATCTTCTTTTGGAACATATCTGTGTTGGGATCCGCATTCTCGGGCACCTCCAGCACCCAGTCCTTGTCTTTCTCAGCTTCGGCTCGTTTAAAGCCATACGTAGGTACCCATTTCTATGTGGTTGCATGGTTAGTTTTATTATGGCTGTAATTTCTAGAGTACTTACATCCAGGACATCATCGTAGGTTTTCTTGTCCTTCTTCTTCTTTGTGATGCCCTTTTCCTTGGCGAACTTCTCCCATTTCGTCAAAGGACGTGGACCTGGCGGTTTGCGTAGACGCGGCAGCACAGTTGTTGGCTCGGGCAACTTGGCCACAATACTTTCGTCCACACGTTCGGTTGGCAGTTCCCAAATAGCATTGACCAGCAGTTGTGTGTTTTCACGGGTCAGAGCAGCCAAATACTCCTCCTTGTTGTTGCTATATTAATTTAACATTTATATTAAAAGACTAAAATGGTTTTGCACATTTTACTTACGCGAGCTGCCGGTCGTCAAAGTCATTGGGGTCTGTGATGAGCAGGCTGCCTACATCTATGCGACATTCTAGATGTTTTTCTACTGTAATTGGCTTGTATTTATCCAATTCCTTTTGGTGTTTCTCTAAAACTGCTTTAACTACATCCATTTTGTGTGAAAAACAGCAATCCAATATCTTTAATATTTATACACGTGCGTTGTCAGTAGTGTTGGGTTGGACGCGAGAGAGTGAACAAAAAAGAACTGGTTCCCTGCAGTGTTCACAGCTGTGGGCACTGAACATTTTTAACATTAGCTAAAATGTTATTAAAAGCGCGCACTAATGTGATTACACCGCTGGATAGTAGATTTGAAAATTTTGGGAGCAGCTGAAAATAGGAAATACATTATTGAAACGGCGTCTTTGAAAAGGAAACGCGAAATTAATAATAACAGCTGCTACCGTTGCAATGACATCCTCTTTTGAAAGTCATTACAAATCTTGTATGGCTGTTAACCTGTTTGGTATCGAAACAGCTAAATATCGATACATTTTGTGCTTATTACAATACGCCTTTCTACACGTCACTTATATATTGGTCAGCGTTGGATAACCTACTTGGCAGGCGAACGTGGCTTGCTTCTGGTAAAAAAATAACGAGGAGCATAGTTTGAGATATATATTATTTATCGACAATATTAATTAATCGACAAGCCACCATAATACAGTACAGTGCTGGAAAGTGCGCACTGCTCCAGCTCCAGTAAAAGTAGTTCGCTCTTTAGTTCAAATGGCGCCAAAACTGTAAATTTGGTGGCAAAAGTTGTGTTTGTGTAAATTTATTTTATTTCGAAAATCATGGATGAATTGGCACAGTTGCGCAAACGCATTACAACATCGTTCAAGTTATGCGGTTTTCTGATTCGGTCCGAGAATAGCACCTACCTCGCCGAGCAACTGCTGCCCTTCGAGCCGGCCGAGCGTGAAAAATGGATGACGGTCATAACGGAGAATCTACAGGGACAGAAGCTGTCAACGCCGCATGTTGAACGTGAAGCGTTGGAAAAGGCCATCAATGAACTAAACCGCGTTGGTTTGGATGAGGGCGAGACAATTTTTTCACTAATCGATGCATTTACCGTGCCACGCTACCGCTACAACACGCGGATCAAAAAGTTTGAGCTGGACACGCAGCCGCGACGCCTGCTGACACAGCCTCGCATGAAGTCTGACTATCTGCAGCAGCGCTATGCAATGTTGCTGCAGAAAACCCTGCGGCATGATCTTTTCGCGCCAGCAGTCATCCAAGATGGCGTTGCAGCCGCAGCGCAGTCAAAAAAATTCAAATTGCAGTACGCAGAAAACTTGCTGGCGACATCCCATCTGAAAGAGGCTGTGGTATTGGGTCTGCTCACTCAGCTCAAGGAGGGGAAATTCTTCGTAGAGGATCCAACGGGTTGTGTAGAGCTTGATTTAAGCGGCGCACGTTTCCATGCCGGCTTCTTCTGCGAGGGCTGCTTTGTACTTGCGGAGGGCAGCTATGCGAATGGCGTACTAAAAGGTGAGTCTTGTTCAAATGTCCAGCGCGGCTGTATGGTAACTACTTGCACTTTACGTTACAGTCGATGGTCTAGGCTTTCCGCCCGCTGAACAAGCCACCAGCAGCCGTGCCTTCTTTGGCACCGGCAACACTTGGGGCGGCGAGTCCACAAAGCTGCTGAAGTACTCGCCACGTTTGCAAGAAGTGGAGCGCACCAATACGGAAACGACGCTGGTATTCCTGTCTGATGTGCGTTTGGATCTGCCTGTTGTCATGGACAAACTGCGCCAGCTTTTTGTCGGCTATGATTCCTGCCCGCCTCAGGCCATTGTCCTCATGGGACCCTTTACGGCCAGCACGCGCAATCACCATGAGCTGCGCCAGCATTTGGATGCTCTGGGCGCATTGGCCGCCGGCTGCGAGCAGCTTAAAAAGCAGACCGATTTAATTCTTGTGCCCTCCGCCGAGGATCCTACAGCACCGAACATTTTACCACGCGCTCCGCTGCCCGAGTGTTTGGCCGCTGGACTGCTCAAGGCTTGGCCACGCACCCAGCTGGCCACCAACCCCTGCCGCTTGCAGTATTGCACACAACAGATTGTCGTCTGTCGTCTGGATCTTATGGCCAAATTCTGTCGCAATACGCTGCACTTTCCGCCAGACACAACGCACATTGAGCAGCACTTTGCACGCACGCTGGTCTGTCAGGGTCATCTGGTGCCCATACATCCAATTGCGATGCCCGTGCACTGGGATTACGACCCGGCACTGTGGCTTTACCCACTGCCTGATCTCATTGTGATGGGTGACTCCTGCCAGAGCTTTGCCAGCACTCAGCATGACTGCACGGTGTTGAACACCGGCTCCTTTGTCAAGTCCAAGTTTGCCTTCAAGGTATACATACCCGCCACACGCACCATTGAGGACTCCGAGATACCCGGCGACATGGATGCAAGCTAGGCCCACTTCTGCCCACAAATGTATGTTGAAACATTTCCCCTCACTCAATCCCAATATATATATGTATATGCATGTGTATTTGTATGTATATTTGCCACATTAACTTTGGAGCCTCACATGTTGCGTTGTCCCTCTCCGCCCCAACCCACTTGCCATGCGTGTTTCTCAGTTGATAAGCGCAGAGCGTCACCCTCGTCGGGCATCATATGCGGCACAGCATGTGTTCCACAATCTTTTTGGCTGCTGACGCGCCTCGCAATCTGCTTTTTACTACTCGTCGGGGGTTGTCTATTATTTTTCATGACTTAAAGCCGATTTGGTAGAATATTGTTGCTCTGCTCGGCGACGTCACTTAGCGCCGTGGAAATTCAATTTCCCAGCCGCACACACATAGCGCCTCGCCAGCTGAAACGGTTAATGCGTTTGACCTGAGGACATCAATTGCCCTCGTTTTGTGACATTGCTACTTTTTCGTTTCTCGTTTTGGGCCACCCTGGGCCCAAAATCGTTTTTTAAGACATCATTAGCCCATGGCCGGCAGAAGCATATAAGGGCGACGTTTCCGATTGCTGCCCTGCCTGGCAGCGTTCTCTATTGATTTATGATTTATTGCCAAATACTTTGATAGTTCCATAAAGTGTCCGGTGTCCGGTGCCCCTTTCTATGTATCAATTTCCAAAATGTGTCCAGTGTGCAAATTCAATTGTCAGGGCGGTTCACAGAGCTGGGCGTGTCTTTGTTTTGGGCTGCCATTGTTTTCCATTTTGCGAGCGTCTGCTGGAGCCTGCAACCCCCCCAAACTTTGAAATATTTGTGCCGGAGCGACAATCTTGCTTCTGCTTCATTTAACTGGTACATTTGCAACTTTTAAAATTTAAATATTGTTTGCGACTGCTGCGCAATTGGCGAAGTGGAGCAATAACATAAAAAAGCATTTTATCTCGGCTGGTCATTATTTTTTATGATGCCCACACAGTTGACACCATTTACATGATTTCAACGAACCGCAGCAGCAACCCCACCTTCCCCCTTCGCCCGACCACAGAATTCGATTAAAGCAATCGCTGATGCGGAATCCTCCGAAATCTGTTGATGGAGACACAATCGCTGGGCCCCAGGCTCATCAATCAGTGTCACAGCTGCGCCTCAAGTGGTCGACGCAACTCCAATCAAGGATCAAAGCAACTGGACGGGGGCTAGCCGGCGACACATCATCAACCATCTTCTAACTCTTCCACACATCCTGTTCCAATCACACACAGGATGCGGCCAAGTGCATGTCCTGTGGTTATTTGACAATTGTTCGACTTGTTAGCATATCCTTCACTGATTTTCCAATGTTGCCAAAGTGGCCATATGTCAGGCGTCCCATATAATCACGTATTCCAGTCGCTTTTGTGGTGTGATTTTTTTAATTTTCATGGTTTTGACAGGGGGCGGGGCATGGTCTTAAATATGTATTGTATACCCTTATGCCTGAGGTGAACGAGGTGGCTATGATGAATGCCAGACATAGGGGTTGTTATCTGGCAAGCATGTTGATTTTCACTCTATACTAAAGCCCTTTACGGATCAAAAGTTTCATTTTTGAATAACTCAAGATTATGCGGATCGTTTTCATAAGTCCAGCATTAATTCTGGAAATGGGTATTAAAATTTTATTGCGTTATTATAAAGCATACTCTTAATAAATACTTTTACAAGGATTCGATATTCTGTCACTGTTTGTTGCTTAAGTTATTTTTTCTTTTTGTATTACTAAATATAAAACCGAGTTCTATGAGTTCTAACTGCTTATAAAAAAAGTTGCCATTTCGCTATTTAAAATTTTACAAACGAGTATCTTGGCTTAAAGACTAGTCTTAGACGACGGAGACGCGTCTATTATAAAGGCTTAATTGAGGCTTAAGTTTAACCTTTTCTTTAAATAATAAAATAATAATTATTAAATAATGATAACTCTTAAGCTAAAGCTCTAAACTGAGTTAAGTTGTTGCTCCAGCTCGCTTTGGCTTTATTATGGCTTGAGGCTTGTAATTCTCAACAAGTTGAAGCTTCGATACAATGAAAGGACGCTTGCATTTTTAGAGTTGTTAGCAAAGTGTTCTAATGATAGATTTGGTGCGCTATTTTCTGTTATTATTAATATAAATAAAAATGATAATACAACATTATTAAAGGGTATTTAAGACATCAATATCCTTTTAATCTACGATATTTTTGCTCGCATATGGTCAAAGGTTTTGTCGGGCACTTTGAAACCAGTTCATCAGCTGGAAAATCAAAAGCCGCCTTTGTTTATGTGAATTTCTTTGTTTCATTCATTGATATTTGCGGATAGCTAATTTAACTTTTTATGCACCCGGCAAATGGCGCGTTTATGAGATTTTTCGCCAAGTGCATAAATTTTTGATAGGGTTATCATTGACTTTGTTGCCAGGCAGTCAGCCAACAAAATCCATACTAAAACCGAATGACTGCAATGAAAACGCGCACACGCAGCGAACTCGTAAGCCCAAGTGGCAATTGTCACAAACATAAACTCCACTTGGAGTCGGCTAAGAGGGCGACGACAATGTTCTGAGTTGGGCTGCGCAGTGCGGACGTGTGTCAACATTTACGCCTCAATTATCAGCCGCAGCAGCACAAACAATATCCGCATATAGAGTCGATAATTTGTTGTCCATAAGCTGCTTCCAATTCACAGCCCATCCGCACGCACACACACATGCAGCAGAGAGACCACCCAGCGTGGACAGCTTGCCCAGGCCGAACCCAAACCCAATCCCAATGGCGAGCCGCATCTTAATGCCCCAGCCAATCCGTAACAGTGTCGCTTTCTAGCTGTTCTCTTTGTGGCAGCGTCAAGGACACGTGCCGGCCATTAATTTACGCGATGGCTTTATCTGTGATTTGGTTGCGCACTGCCAGTCTGGCCTATCCAGACTCGTACTGGCACGTGCCGCCTTTGGCAAATCAAATGTTTTTATTATTTAAAGCGACAAACGCTGTGGCGTTTTATTGTCTTCCTCATGGCGATAACAACACAGTTGCTTCGACGCCAGGACAAATTACAGTTAAGCCACATCCTGACCGCCATTCTACGTGAATTGATAACGAATTGCACCTTGGGGACAGCGTTGCTTGACTTTTCGCTCTTAATGAAAATAAAGTGATAAATTTTAATTGATTTAACTTTTGTCCTTGGTTTTAGACAAGGCTCCTTCAAGCGATAAGATCGCTGGACAAACGCCGGCTCATTAGCCAAGGATAATGCATCAAGATAATACTTGAATGTTTGACATAATTGAATTTTTTAATGCCATTTGTGTTTCTTTGTAAACTTTTGCTAATGTGCTTTTATATCAACATTTTTAAACTATCGGTTTCTGCTAAAAAAAAAAAACAAGGATTTTCTTATGCTTATAAATTTTAGAATATTTGGGGAGCAGAATAGATTTTCTAACATCATATACAATAGTATTTGATATTGTTAATGTTGAGAAAAAGAGTTTTGTCCTTAAGTTCAGATCAAGCTCAATTGAATGAGTGATCAAAATGAACTACTGAACTTATTCAGTAATTATTGAACTAAATCGGCTATTTTTAGTTTACTCGTTCATTTAATCAGTCGGTCATGAACGACATTTTCTGTACTCGTTCAGTCGTTCATGAACTACACATTCCACTGAGATGTTTAGTTGTTAATGAACAAAAAAATTAACGGGATTTTAAGTTTACTTTCAATTTGTTGAGGATAGGTGATAGCAGATAGAATTTGACAATTATGTCCGCAAAAGGTTGATTATCACACATTGTAATATTTGATGTATATAATCATCACGCTCTTATAACGTAAAAAAGGGGAATACATTGTTTTGAAAATGAAAACATAAAAAATAACTGAAAAAACAACTGAAAAGCTAAGCAAAAAGAATCGTTTATGATCAACTGAATGAACTATGGAGCGAACTTATTCATAGAAGTCTTCGCTCAATGAGAAATATTTTAGGTATATTAAGGAATTCCTATAATGTACAGAAAGACTCAGATCGACTTGTAGTTCGCTGCGCTTTTCCTTAAGATTAAAGATTAGAAATTAAACTAAATTAGGCCTATTTTTGCTGAGCCACACTTATTGCAATTGCAACATCTACAAGCTTTGCCATCAATTTTCTAATTTATATTTTCGCCTAGCTCCAGTCTCCGTTCTCAGTCTGGACTGAATTATTAACTTTCGTTACATTTGTTATCTTCAATTTTCTTGCAGCCCGAAACTCTTTTTGGTTACATATTTCAAATTGATTGCTTTTAAATTAAAACTGGGCATAAATCACACAATGCCTGGCCGCACAGTTAGCCCGGTCGCGCCCACCCTACCGCTTGGCCATGGCTAAAAACAAAAGCTCCTCCAGCATTGTCAGCACAATGCAGGCGACATAAGCCGATTTCAGATATCTGGTCCGTTGTCGTCCGATTCTCTGTCTGTTTCCAAAAATGTAAAAATTATCATCAACGCACAAGTGGCTTGTACTTGTCACAGCCACGCCCAGGGCAAGGTCCTGCCCCTACCCCTGTGCCAGCCCCTGCCACGGCCATCCCCAACCAAATCCTTATGCAGAAGGCAAAATATTTTCATTGTGTTTCAGCAGATTTTCAACACGACATTTCCACTGGGCAGGGTTGGAAAATTGGTTTGTTTTTGGGCGGCAGCAGAAGCAAACATTTTTGGGAAATGCGATTACCTGCGTTTGCCTATTTGTTGCCCGTGTTCGGGGCAGGAGTAACTGCCTCCGGGCGCTGCATGCTAATCGACTTTTGATTGTCTATGTGTGTGCGTGTGTGTGTGTGTGCGTGTGGCAAACAAAAAGGTTCAAATGCTCGACCATAAATATAAATTTATGTGGGATATTTTGGCACTGAGATTTATAGATGTGCGTACCGAGTGGAGTGTTGATTGCATTTGCCCATCAGTCCATCAGGCCCGACTGCCGCCCCGACTCCTGTTGCAGGTGACATATTCCGTGTCTGTCGGCTGACAAGTGTTAACGCCTGTTTTTGTTATTATTTAACTGGCCCTCTTGCTCGCACTGCCCGCTTAGCCTGCTCAGCTATTGCCAGCTCGCTCACTCATAATTGCTAAAAAACTAAAGCTGCGTAAAATCCCAAGTTTCAATTTAACGCGTTTGTGATTCACACACACACACACACACACACACGGAGGATTTGTGGTCAGCCACCCTCCCCCTTGCAGCCTTCTGCCAAGTGCAGTTGTCATGCCTGTTATCGTTATTGTTGCAAATCTTATCTAGTTTTGATTAAAAATCGAGCATCCGCCAGCCGCTTGGGCGGCTTCTCACAATTGACACTAAGCAGACAGCAGGTGCAGAGAATATTCCCTTTTAAACAGTTACTCGAATTTCGAGTTCGAATCAAGTTTCGAACTGGCGCCGAGCATGCGCCTTGCCCAACGGTGGGCGTGTTCCCGGTCAGCGCCAATGGCAAAACCAAAATGGAGTCTCCACAGCGCCGCTCAACCGATTGGGGCTATGGGTGGGCTGTTGCATGATTGCACATATGTGCCGCTTGCGATTGCTGGCCAAGATTCGAAGGCAAGCGCTGCCAAAAAATGGCGCCACCGACGACGACGACGGCGCTGATGCTGACGCTGACGTCGACGTGAACGTTGACGTTGACGCTATCGCTTGCAGGCAACATACGTGTGTACTCGGAACAACATGTGTGATATGTGCCCCGCCGTATGGACGCCGCAACAACCGGACCAGCACTTGGCAGTGCCGCTGCCCCTGGCCCTGGAGGCGCCCATATGTAAGCTTCTACATACGATGCGGCGTAAATAAACAGACTGTCTTTGTATATGGCGCAGTCAGTGTGGTTGGCCACCTCTCATCTCCCAATTTCTTAGCCTTTTTGTGTGTCTTCTAAGCATTTTGGTTTTATTACGCGTTTTACTTATTATGGCTTTTGGTTTGGGGCTTGGCACTGCTTGCCAGCCGGAAGTGGCGCTTAAGTTGTACGACTGTTGCTCAATCAAAAAGTTGGTCTTGTGCCCTGTCTAACGCCAACGGGCTAAAGAGTACGCGCCTGCTTTTACTCAGTTTCTTTTATCCCAATTTTTCTATAGGTTTTGACTCTTAGCTTGATTTATGTTCAGTGGCCTGATGATTGATGAGCTGCTTCACTTGTTTGCTCATCAGTTTGCAAGAAGGAAATCGGATTCCTAGCTGAACGTCCACGGTGCTGTTTACTTAGCTGCTTACAAATTATGCTTAGTTATCGACTGTAATAAGCACATACAGCCGGCTTGATTCTTATATATATTTACTAAAAGCTTAAGTTTGGCATTTGCATTTGCTGTCATAGTGTTAATTCTATCAATCATGGAAAGGAAATAATCGGCTAATATGAATTTCTTATAGTTTTATTCGTTAGCTTCTTTTAATCGTGCCGGTCGGTTCCGATTTAAATCAAATTTACAAATTAATTGTCTTTAAACATTTATTATTCTTATCCAATATATATATATATTCTTGATCAGTATTAACAACTTAGTCGATATAGCTTATCTGTCTGGCTCTTTGCTCTGTTCGACTTTTTAAGACATCCATTTGAATAAAATCTTAAGGATTGGTAGCATTCAAAACTCTTGTACATAAACTTTTCTATAATACAAATTCTCAAGTTGTGGCTTTTAGTCGGGAATAGGTTGCCATTTGCAGCATTCGCCATTTCAAAAAAGTATCCGTACGCCTCTTATTCAATTTTCTTTGCTTTAGTTTTTTCG